TGCTTTTTCCACTATTCTGAGTATCGATTAGATTCACCAATTAGTCCTGATTTTTAAATAGGTCTATCATTTCAATAGAAGATATAAAACAAATACTGCATGCAGGGAAGTATGGTTTTAAAGCTAATACCTTCAAAACTTGGCATTCTGAAATGATAACTTTTATAGTAGATACAGATCCAAAAGCGCTATTCAAAAGTATATATTTGTACATCCCTCAGGCTATGTAACTAAGCGCATTTTATTTAGAGAAACTTCAAAGACCACGCGTCTTACTACTGCAAACACCCCACATTTGTATTCTGCCGATACCCCACATGTATAGCGTTCTCCTCTGTAAAGTGTGATTGCAGCATGAGATGGAGAACTCCCTCTCATGCTGCAGCACACAGATCAGTACTGAGCAGTTGGCAGAGCCTTGCACTGATCCTGCTGCAGTGGGTAAGCAGGGAGACCTCCCCGGGGTATGAAGAGACACCAGTGGTCTTTCTTACATGGGGGGAGGAGGGGGCACTGCTAGGATAGAGTGACATGTACTGCGGAAGCATGATCAGACTTCTGCATTTAAATCCGTTTAAAGGGCTATGAGCAGCGCTTACTTAGAGCGCTGCTCTTAGCTCTAGTGTCAGTCTGGGGCCCCTAACTATTGCCCCAACTGACAGAGGGGACCCACAGTTGTTGTAAGATACTTTGGGTTCTCCTTTTTTTAAGTGTTAGTGAAAGCAATATCACAGCTGAGCAGGATCACACAGCCGAGATATTTAAAGACCTATAAGAAGCACTCACTTTGAACGCTGCTCATATCTCCTCTGTCAGTCTGTGGCCCCAGTTGACAGAGGAGACACACAGGTATCTAAAGATACTGGGATGTTCTTGATACCAGCAGAGATTTTTTTTCTGCATGATGCTCTGTGCTGTCACTGGGCATTACAGCCCTGCATTTGGTCCTTAAGTGGTTATGATTTGTAATAGTTTTGATTTTATTTGCTGTACCACACATTATAATTGTAAAGTAGTCCTATGCACAAATGGGTTCCAGCTGTGCTGAAAGAGTCAATGCCTACCAAAATATGGAATATATTCAGAGTTGCCAAACAAATCAATTAAATCAAATAGGCATTCAGATAGGGTTCCAGTCCACCAGTAAAAGGACCTTCAGAGGATAAAAGTCAATTTTTATCATTTGCCATAAAACCATTGTATGCAATGATTGATATATTCATTAAAATCTATATATGCGTCTAAAAAGATACAAAAGTGTAGTTTGCTATGGACATCAAAAAGTGTATATAAAGATATTATTGTACATTCAAATATTATCGTATACGCCTCCCATCTTATTTCCTAATTTCACTTTGTTTTGAAAACTGTTTAAGGAAAATAATATTTAAAGAATATTGTACCGTACTGCGCAATTTGTGCGCACTTTATAAATAATAACAATATAAGAAAAAAGTATCTAGTCTAATTGTACTAATAGCCTGCTTCCTCTAACAAGAATAGCAATTGCAAACTTAAATTTCGCCAGTAGGTGGAGTCGTGGTAAAATCAAATTACTAATCACAGAAAAAAAATTAGACAAACGAAAACAAACCAGCCATTTTGTTCAGTGAGATTATTAAGACTTTTCCCTAACCGTTTGTCAGCTGGTTGCCTTACAGACAGAATGGTAAGAATGGGGCTGGCACCTGACATGCGTTTGTGCTCTGCATGTTTGTTTTGTTCATCAGTTGTAAACTGTGTATAACTTGGCCATAACATTTTACACCCTGCTTCTCCAATATTGATTGGTGGAATATATTACGTGATCAATTCTGTGTAGCAAACTTAATGATTTGCGTCTCTGACATAGTTATATAGTTGTTTAGGTTGAAAAATGACTAATGTCCAGCGCCCATTCTTTTATGCTGTTGATCCAAAAGGCGGGAAACCCCCCCCCACAGTTGTAGCAATTTCCAATTATGCTACAAAAAGGGGGGAAGAAAAACTTAATATGGCTGTATCAAGGTATTACTGGCTCATCAGAACACCTGGATGCTTTCAGTCACCTGACCATGCATAAACATTGTACTCCAGGGGTGCCCAAAATGTAGATCCTAGATGTTTTAAGCCTACAACTTCCATGATGCTTTGCCATTCTAAAGGTATTCTAAAGATATGCAAAGCATCGTGGGAGTTGTATTCTTAAAACATCTGGGGATCTACCTATTGGGCACCCCTGTTGTACTCTCACAGCTGGTGTTGCCTAGCAACCAGGGATGCACCGAAATGAAAATTCCGTGCCAAAACCGAAACCAAAATTTCAGGATGCCCTTGGCCGAAACCAAAAACGGCTTTTTCCCCAAATGATTTTTTAAAAGCTTTTTTTCCTATAATTTTATTAATATTAGACTTTTTAATGAATTTATTAATCTAATATGAAAAACTTCCCTTCTCTTTTAGTGGTCCCACCCGCTTAATGTTCCTCTTTCTCCCCTCTAGTGTTCCTCTCCCCTCCCTCTTTTCTAGTGTTCTTTCCTCCCTCCTCCCTAGTCCCATAGTGTTCTTTCCTCCCTCCTCCCCATTCCCATAGTGTCCCCCCCTCCACTGTTCCATAGTGTTCTTTTCTCCCCCTCCCCTGTCCCATAGTGTTCTGTCCCCCTCCCCTGTCCCATAGTGTTCTTTTCACCCCTCCCCTGTGCAAGTGTTCTTTCCCCCATCCCGTCCCATAGTGTTTATCCACCCTCCCCGTCCCATAGTGTTCTTTTTTCTCCCCCTCACCTGTCCCATAGTGTTCTTTTACCCCCCTCCCCTGTGCCAAAGTGTTCTTTCCCCCCTCCCGTCCCATAGTGTTCTTTCCCCCCCTCCCGTCCCATAGTGTTCTTTTTCTCCCTCCCTGTCCCATTGTGTTCTTTCCCCCTTCCTCTGTCCCATAGTGCTCTTCCCCATCCCCTGTCCCATAGTGTTCTTTCAATCCTCCTGTGTCCCATAGTGTTCTTTCCCTCCTCTCCTGTCCCATAGTGTTTTCCTCCCTCCCCTGTCCCATAGTGTTCTCCCCCCCCTCCCCTGTCCCATAGTGTTCTTTCCCCCCCCGTCCCAAGTGCAGTATTCCTGACTTTTCATGTTATCATACTATCTTTCATTGTGATATATAATAATCTGAATTGTTAATGCAAGCATTTCTGTTAAACTATACACTACAAAAAAAAATAATAATTAAAAAATATATATGTATATATTATTTTTTTGTAAATTTCGGCAAACTTGACCCGTTTTCAGCCAAAACGGGATAGGCCCATTTTCGACCAAAAATTTCGGGAGCCGGAATTTTGGTGCATCCCTATTAGCAACAGAGGTAACAATCAGACCAAGTGTAGTTATGATGTAAAATGATGATGTATCTGGGGATCATTATCTGTTAGTCCAGGGCTGAGTAGACAGTGATTAAAAGTTATTCCAGTGATAACCAGATTGGATCACTCTGAAAGAAAACCAGTTTACAAAATGGAGAAAAACTCCAAAATATCTAAACCTGAGGAGCACCAGGATGACTTGCCGTAGGTTTATTTAAAATGGTTTATTTTATATATTACTAATAATAATTTAATTAGCAGGTAAATCCCTACGTAACTACTTGTATGATAGTCCAGTTATATATATATATATATATATCATTTAACATGTTAGGATTTCTGGGTAATATTTTGTAATTTTGTTTATCATTTCAATGTCTGATATTTAACTTGTGACCCTGGACATTATAACCTCAGCCTTACTGGATACTATCAAAGCTATAATCCGTATTTTAATACTAATCTCACTGACTGAAATTATTTTTACAATTAGTAATATAAAGTATTTAATGTAGATAAGGATTATTTTAACAATTATCCAATGTTTAAAACAAACAGTGTAAGAGGTCTATTCTCTAAAGTCTAGAATGTTTGCCTATTTGAGGAAAACTATTCAAATAATAATAATAAGTGTAGAATTCAGCAGGAATAGTTTTCAGAGCCATCCCCACTGGGTAATAACAGGGTTTGAGGGAATTTATAGTTGGAATATCGATTATAGTAGTAATTATTCATTTATTATAGTAGTAATTGCTCATTTACTCCAAAATACATGATGGTAGCTAGCTGACCATGCTTGTACATTGCGCTCTACCTACAGCTGGCAACCGACAGAAAAACAAAACTTACGCAAAGTGTAATTATCATACAAAATACGATGTATCTTGGTTTATTTTCTGGTATATCTAATGCTGACTCCTCAGAGATTAAAAGTCATTCCAGTGATAACCAGATTTGATCAATTTGAAAGAAAGGCAGTGTAAAAAAATGGAGGAAATCTCTGAATTATGTGAACCTGAGGTGCAACAAAATGATTTACTGTAGATTTTATATAAAATATTTTATTTTCTATATCACTAATGTAATAAGGTTGATAGAACTTAAATCCCCTTTTAACTAGACACAATTAATCTAAAGAAAACTAAACTACTGCACAGGCATGCACCCAAGTCTATAGGTTCAGATTCCTGGGTGATAATTTTTAAGGTTGATTTTCTTTTAATGAAAACTGTGGACTTATGGGACACTATTAGAGCTTTGTTTATTATGTTAAAAATAATCCCATTAACTGAAAACTCCTCTCCAATCAGTTATATCAGTATGGTGGAAGTTGTATGGTTAAGCTAGAAATGTCCTTTATCCCATGGTTTTGTTTTAATATTATGCTAAAAGGTAAGAAGGTGAAAGAACCACTATCAGGGAATTTGCCTATAAACACCGTAAGGGACTGAGCATTTATTGAAGTTAGCAGACAAAACAAATTAAACTTCACAACAAATGCCAGATTTTGTACAAATTTAGACATTATGCCCTCAGTACATGTTATTGCATTATTAATCTTCTGATTAAATAGTCAAACAACCCTGATTTAGATCCTTTTGATATTGTGACTGAAATCTAGAGTTGTTAGATTGTTAAAATTAAACTATTTCCTTTTTTTCCTGACAGTGAATTGGAGCAACATAACATCCTGTGGTCTAAGACCAACGTTTATATAGTGCAGGAATTGCTGGGCATTGGCACCTTTGGGAACGTTGTAAAGGGTTTTATAGAAGGAACCAATCAGAAATTGGCTATCAAAATCCTGAAGAACACCCCATATGCTGTTAAAGATGCTGAAGAAGAGGTGGAAATTCTGTCCCAGCTCAGTAAGGAACAACCAGACGAATTCAATGTTGTCAAGCAGTACGAGTATTTCCAGCACAACAATAACAACTGCATTATGTTTGAAATGTTGGATATTAGTCTATATGACTTTATAAAGAAACGCATGTTTAGCCCGCTTCCTGTGAAACACATCCGTCCTATTGTGGAGCAGGTGGGCAGTGCACTGGCAAAGCTGAAGAGTCTGGGAATAATTCACACAGACTTGAAACCAGAGAACATCATGATGGTGGACACTGCTAGGCACTCATTGAAGGTCAAGCTCATAGACTTTGAGTGTGCAATATATGCATCCAATGCTCGATGTTCAAGCTATATACAAATGAGATATTATAGATAAGGGAAATGTATTACTCATAGTTCACATTTCAAATAAAGTACATACATATCCTTTACATTTATGAAATAAGTATAAGGACTAACGTTAACCAGGTCTAGAGATGTGAAGGCCTGAAAAAAAAAAGGAAAAATTCGGAAAACAAAAAAAATTTTCCCCGTTTTTTTCCTGAAGGCTTTTTTGGGTTTTTTTCCAAAAATTTGGAAAATTTAAAAAAAATAAAGGGTGGGGGGAATATTTTATTTTAACATGATGAATAAAATAATTTAAGACAGGGTGTTCAAATATTTTCCAAATAAATTCTAAAAAAAAAAATGTATGATATCAGGTTATTCTAATTTCTGTGCACTGAGTGAGGACAAGCAAGTACTAGGTAACAAACTGAACCCTCCAATGCAAGAACATTATGCATTTCTTCCTTTAGGAGGTGCTGTACTGCTATTGTAACAAGAAAAAGGTTTCAGTTTTGCGTTTGCATGTTAGTGGGTGTGTTTGGTTTGTTCTGTACTCTTCACTAGGCCTCAAAAGCATTGGAAGAAAATACAGAGCAACAAAAAGGACCTGAAAGTATTTACTTAATTAAAAAAGGTAAGCGTTTACATTTATCTGATTCTGAATCCAGAAAACTGAATCATTTAGCTACATTAGTTTATCTTTATTAACTTTTGTGTAAATTATTTAATTACCAGTAATCTGGTTCTTCCCCCAGTGACCCCCACACACAACCATAGATTAGTGTCTTCTTGCAAAGTAGTAATTTTTTTCTTGTTTATATTTCCTACTCCCCTCAGAAAAATGGTGAGACCAACATCTAGCATATGGAGGCATTTTCACATTACAAGTTCTTCTGAAAAGAAAAATGTGATTTGCAAATATTGTCAGATGAAATATGCATTTCCAAATGCTACCAGGATGACAAAACACATTCTTGTATGTAACAAGTGTCCTGTAAATATTAAAAAAAATCCTTCATGGATTGAAGTGAAGAGGACAACAATGATGACAATGCACATAGTTTTTCTCAATGTTCTCGTTCAAGAAGTCCTCTTTCTACTCCATCTATAACGTCAGCAGCAACACAAAGTGTTGTCCCATCAGCAGCATCTTCAAGTACACAGATACTTAAGACATGTGGGTATCCAGGAGCTTTAACATGTAATAAATAAATAAACACTGAATATATAATGGCAAAAATGAATATAAATATAAATATTGGATGCAAATGTCAATACAATTTTCAAAATTTCTAAATTACTTAAGATATCCAGGAAACAACCAAAAAGCGGTTTCTTAGTCTTTTAGATCAGACACGCATAAAAGCCCAAATAACAGACAATTAAGGGGTTAGTGCAAACGATTTTATCTATTGTCTTTCTTACATGAAAGTAGATTAAATTCATAAGGACCTTATCTGATCCTGTATTGTATATCCAAGCAGGTCAAATGTTATTTATGATATATGTTCACAGACTGTATATGGTACAAGAACTTAAGTGTTTGCACTAACCTCTTAATTGTCTGTTATTTGGGCTTTTATGCGTGTCTGATCTAAAAGACTAAGAAACCGCTTTTTGGTTGTTTCCTGGATATCTTAAGTAATTTAGAATTTTTGAAAATTGTATTGACATTTGCATCCAATATTTATATTTATATTCATTTTTTGCCATTATATATTCAGTGTTTATTTATTTATTACATGTTAAAGCTCCTGGATACCCACATGTATTGTATATTTGTAAGTGTCTGTAGGATTTGGTGAACTCCTATCTTTTCCAGTTTCAGAGCTTTTATCCTATCCTTTTCTTTGTCTTATTCCCTCTTTCCTATCCTTTCATAAACACATTTTGTGAATATCAGGATTAATTATTCACTAGATACTGAAGACAGCTGCATCCAAAAATTATTCACTAACTTCATTTATAGACAAGATGACACTTGAAGATCAAGAAAAAATTGATCAAGCTCTTGCAAGAGCAATATATTCTTCTGGAACGCCGTTTTCAATAACTGAAAATACATACTGGCAGAAAGCTTTGAAATTATTAAGACCATCATACCAATTTCCCAGCAGACATTCTTTGAGCAAGCCTCTTTTGGAGTCAGAATATGAACGTGTAATGGAATCGGTGCAAGGAAAAATTAATGAAGCACTGTGTCTTGCACTACTTACAGATGGATGGACAACTGTGAGAGATGAATGAATTATAAAGTTTGTTATAACAACACCCTCAGCCAGTTTTTTACAAAAGCATTGAGAGAACAGACCAACTGCAGAGTATATCAGCTGTAAAATCTGTGATGTCTTAAAGAAAATTGGGAGTGGTAAAGTATTTGCTTTGCTTACTGACAATGCCAGCAATATGAAAGCAGCATGGGAAATCCTAATGGAGAAGTATCCACATATTACTGCACTAGGATGTGCAGCCCATGGGCTAAACTTGCTTTTTAATGATATTATGAAGTTGGACACCCTTCAAATGGTCTATAGACGAGCAAAAGAAGTTGTTAAAAATGTAAAAGATACTCATATTGTAGCTGCAGTTTTCAAGAAGAAGCAAGTCGAACAAAATGCAAAGAATAGCACAGTTAGGCTGAAGCTCTGTAGTAAAACTCAGTGGGCTGGAGTGAAGATCTTAAAGTACCCAGGAGTGTAAGAAACACTGTTCTTGATCAGGATGTCTTCTGGGTTCAGCTGCAAAATTCCCTGAAGATTCTAAAGCCAATTGCTGCAGCAATCACTGCATCTGAATCAGATAGTGCACTTTTGTCAGAAATTCCTTATCTAATGACCACGATAAAAACAACTGTTTTTGAAAATCTCAGTATATCTCCACTTACAACTATAGAAGAAAGTAAAGTGAAAGATTTTATTTAAAAAAGGGAAGAATTTTGTTGTCATCCAATTCATGCTGCTGCAAATCTGTTGGATCCGAGATTCAAAGGTGCAAACATAAGTGATGATGACACCGCTACTGCATTTGACTGGATCACAAAACAAGCATCACATTTAGGACTTGATGTTGGGAAAGTACTTTCAAATGTTGCAGAATATATAACATCTTCAGGGATTTGGTCCAGGAATGCAATCTGGGATTCTGCCAAACATATTCCTCCTGCAACATGGTGGCAAGGTCTTTGCACAACACAGCCTCTGACTCCTATTGCTTCTCGCCTTCTCCAGATACCTCCATCTTCTGCAGCATGTGAAAAAAATCTGGTCTATGTTTGGAAACACTCACACTAAGTCAAGAAATAAACTGACATGTGAAAGGGTAGAGAAGCTAGTTTCGAATCGGGCAAACCTTCAGTTTTTAGAAGTTACTAATTGTGATGACGGACAAAAAAAAAAAAAAAAGAGTAGCTGCAGAAGCGGAGACGGATACTGACAATTTCAGCTCAGAAAATGATTCTGATTAAATGTCCATTGAAACTTAGTCCCACTCTCTTCTTAACACTTCCCCCATCTTCAATTCTTTTATGAGAATGGGATTTTTATTTTTATTTAATACTGTGGAGAAGAAATATGAAAAAATGTTACTTTTGGTTTTGAAAATTTTTTGTAAAGGCTTTTTGGCTGTTCCACATAAACTAGCAAGCAGTTCAGGAGATTGTTGCTCTCTTTGTTACAAATAAATATCTAATTTAAGACTACACTATATTTTTAAAATGCTAGTTGTAATAATTTTATGCCAAGTCAAATTGTCCATAGTCATATTTTATGTTCCTAAAGTAACATAATGACTTTCAATCTTAAAAAGACAAAAAAGTGCTATTGTAGCATTTTTTTTTATTTTCTGAAAAATTGTTCCCCTCTCCCCAAAAAACGGAAAAAAAAAAGAGGGGGTTCCGAGCTTCAAAATTTCTGGAAATTTTACATTTCTAACGAGGTCTGGTTGATTATTTTGTCCAACGGTTTTTATAAAATATTAGGAGATTTTAGTGATATTTATGGTTTCTGGTGGAGTGTATCAGTCGGCTAGCTCTACACAATTAAACAGGGATCTTGAGGTGAACATGGATTGATCAGAATTTGCCCAAGTGACATGGCTGCTTGCTACAGAGCTCTCCTAGGGAGAAGGGAAGTGGACAAAATATTCCCCCACTTTCTTCTTCTTCTTCTTCAAAGCTTTGCAGATCAATATGTCAGAAGACATGTCACTGATATATTCTTTGTAGAGAAGATTACAAAATATGGATCTATGGGGTCTCTGTGAAATTCTCATATATGCACAGAGTGATGTAACAGGCTTCTAAAAGCTGTGGAAATCTGTGGAATGTGATGGATTTTCTGCATTCCAAAGAAACATTTAGGACGTTCTCCTCTATTATTCTCATTTATAAAATCTGATCATCATTAAAGTACTTGGAAGTGGCTGCAGACTGCCCATGGTCTCATTATGCTGGAGGGAATGTGAGGTGGGTTTTGTTGGCCGCTCTGTCAGCTGATATCTGCTTGTGGTAAGTATTTTGGGAGTGGTGGTAAAACACTTCCACTGATAGCTCTCAGGTAGCCAGATGAAGCTGATCCAAGATTTCCTTAATAGAAATAGTCATTATTTTAGTGATTTAAGACTAAATTAAGTGGTTTAAGCCTATACTGCGGTTGATTTACAGCTTTAAAATAAAAATTATTTAGCTAACCTTCTGATTTCTCTCCTTTTTATAAAATTCAGGTCCGCAGAAATAATATTGGGATTACCATTCTGGGAGGCTAAAGACATGTGGTCTCTGGAGTGCATAGTCGCCAAGCTATTCACAGGATACCCTTTATATCCTGGAGCCTCTGAGTATGATCAGGTGAGTTCAAATCTAATCGATATCTATTTGCTTATACAGACTAAAGTCAAAGTGCAAAGATAAAATGGTCAATATTGTTTAAAATTAGTGAGGACAATTCACTAATCAAAGAATTTTAGTGAATAAAAGATACAAAATGTAAACATTTAAAGGGATCCAATAATCCCAGGAAAACAAACCTGTTTTCCTGGCCCTATAGGCTCCTGGAGTGCCCTCCTCCCTTGGAGCTGAAGCGGCAATGGGCGTGCATGCATTAGACCTCCCCATAGGAAAGCATTAATAAAAGCTTTCCTATGGGGAAAATCTGATGCTGGAGGTCCGTGAGAATGGGTGACGTATGGCAGTGTCTTGATCTGATGAAGGAGATGCTTAATATGAATCCACACAAGAGGATAACTCCCATAGACCTTCACAGCCATCCCTTCGTCACCATGGCTCATCTCCAGCACTTCACACAGAGTTCATAGTACGTAATTTTCCTTGTGCACTGGGAAAATTGCTTGGAAATTGTGGGAAAGCTGTTATCAATGTGGGAGGAGGAGGATCAATCATATTTATAAATAATATAGGAATCTAAATATATACTAGAATATGTAGAATTATATAAATTGTATGAGTAACATCTGACACTCTAGCTTTTTGCTGCCTTTCGTGAGATATGGTGGTTCATAGTATAAAGAAACACTTCAGGCTTTGTAACCCCCTGCATTATAAATAGTCAAACCGCTCCCCATCTCCTCTCTGCAGCCATGAGAGGTGAAAGTTTAGTTCAGAGAGAGAGAGCTTCCTGGTATGTGAAGTGCATAGTGGAGGCAAGGAGCAGCACCCGGGGGGACCCAGATAGGAAGTCAAACTGTCCTAAAAAGGTTTGATTACTTACATTGGGTAGGTGTCAGAGCAATCCTACAGTGCACTGATTGTGAAGGTGCTTGGAATGTTGGAATGAAGAACACTGTGAGAGTATTTCTAACTGTATACAACAGCTAAAATTATGTATTCTTCAGTTCTGGGAAGAAACGTTTTATTCAACAAGTCTTAATTTGTGTATTCTTCCTCATATAATTCCCTGTTTATTCAATTATTATTTTTTTTGTCTTTTATCATTTTTCACATTCTTCCAAATCTTTTTACTCTTTCATTTCTTTTCTTCTGTGACATTCTTCCTTTTTATATCATTTCATCTCGCTATTTTTCTCTCTCTTTTCCCAGTGTAAATTCTTGCTTCCAGGCCATGGCGATTAACAAAGAACAGGTGAGTATAGTGGTAGTCCTCCTTATGATCCCCTAAAAACCAGTTAGGGATGTCAAGTAGACAGTAATGTGCAGCTGAGGATGTAATATTTTCTCCAGATTGTGGGATGGGGATCACTATTCATAACTGCAATTATATCATGAACACAGAAAAAGAGATATTATATTTTATTGAACAAACTCTTAGTATTTATGAGAAAAATGTAAATTTAATTAGTGTTAACGCAGAGCAGGAAATTTCCAGGATTTGTTTTCTCTCTTTATACTATAATACAGCAGGAGGTGTGTCCCGAGCCTCCAGAAATGGAGAAAGAGTCACAGAATGAACAGAACAAAAAGGAACAACTAAAAGAAGATGATTCTGAGAAGAAAGAAAATAAATGATTACAACGAACGACTTCTGAAACTTGTGAGTGCTCCCAGGGGTGTAACTGGTGTGACCTTTAAGGGCAAAGCAACACAGTCCTCTAGGGTAACAGGTACAGAACAACAGTCTCTTATGCAAAAATGTTGTGGTTTATTTACATCGTGCACAAAAATCCATGCAGCAATCCGTTTGTTCAAAACTTCAGCAAAGCAGAAAGGAAAGTCTACAAACAAAATCCTAGCTCAAATTCGAGCACTAACTAAACATAAAGTAATGTCCCTTTCTAAACCAGGGTAATAAACTACACAATTCAACAAAATAAACATTGGTTTCACCAACCTTTAGCACTTTGTTTGGTGCTGCTCAGCACAGACCTGCTCTCTCTCTGCAGGTCAGATTGTATCTCCCCCTTTCTGCTCTGAGACCTGCTAATTAAAGCCTCAGCAGTTGCTAATTGGGAAGGTGAATGAGTACAGGCTATGGAGGAGTCTGGGTCGTAAATACCTTCCTTCTATTACCCTCCCATAGACTGTCACACTGGGAACCACCGGGACCTGGTGCAAGCATCAAAGAATCCCAGTCCCCCTAAGCAATACATCTGAGTTGGATGATGGGATGAGTCTGACTGTGTATAACCATTAAGGGATACTCCAGGCACCATAACAGGTTCATCTTACTGAAGTTGTTATGATGCCATGAAGTTCTATGTGCAGTCTTTGACCACACATGGAACTTCATGTGCCGTAGTTGTTATGGTGCCATGAAGTTCTGTGTGCCGTTCAGGGGTGTAACAGTGTGAAGTGGTTATAATTGTTAATGTAGGTTATAACTTAAAAGAGTGTCAATGTGTTTATGGACAAGTACGGGTGTACATGTGTTTTTTTTTTTTTTCTATTTTCTTTCTTGATCCGAGGAAGTCCAGGGCCCGGTCGAATTTATCAGTACTGTTTTTATTTTGTATTTCTCTGTATAAAATAAAATACGTAGTGTCACACATAATTTCTAAAAAACGTTTACACATGACAATGTTCAAAGGACTCATTAAATGAATAAATCCTGATTTTGTATTTCTTTTGATTTGTAGCATGCAAATGCTATAGCACTTGCAAACCATATGGGCTTAGCAAATGAAATATCTAGCCAAACTGAGGTTGAGCCCCTGGAAATGTGTTAGAGTGCCCCAATAGCACAGATCGACATCCAAGACCAGGTAAGGATGTATGCAATGCGGCAGATTAGTCCTTAAGGTTTGGGGTCAATTAATATGAATTAATGAATACAATCAATTATTACATTCTGATGTTTAATTTTCTTTTCTTGGGTAACAACCTGAAGAGAACTGTGAAGTAGTTATGGAGAATGTTGTACCTGGCACGCAGGAAAGACTAGCTCAGTGTGAAAAGGAAACATCTGATGAGAATTAAATAGAAATCCTGAGTGAGTCAGATGAAGGAGCCAAAGAAGAGAAGGAGGGAAAAAAGAAGAGAAAGAGGGGATCCTGCCTGAGAAGGATGTTATGAGCACTGTGCTGCTACATAACCCAGAAAACCAAAAGAAAGTGAAGGTTAACACACCCGAGATCACAGAAGTCATCGTATATCAGGTCCATGGACTTCAAATTCCAGCAGTGAAAGCAGCATAGAGAGCGAAGCCGCAGCTTCCACCCTCTCGGCCCTGCCATCGGAGCATGGTGGAGGTCTTCTCCGGAAATGTGAATGAGAATGAAGAAACAAAACAACTCTTCATAAACATCAATGAATTATCAAGTCATTCATCAATGGGAAAAGGAGGTGATGAAAATTGTCCTGCTGCCTGTATAGATGAAAGCAACATCTAACCTGCACAGCAGTTCAAAATGTACAACACATTGGGACCCAACCCGAAAATTGATAACGAGGTGGGAGATGGTCCCCATGAGACTCGGACATATTTACCATCCAAGTTCTAACCTCAACCCGGCACCCTCCTTCATATATTCTGGAAATTCCCTCTTAAAAAAACATAATTGATTTACAATACACACCAATACAACCTGAACATTTTCTGCTCAACATGTTCCCCCCCACAACTGAGGAAATTACAAAAGAGTTTAATTCTTCATATTCTCACAGCCACAAGAACCACCATTATTGAAAATTGGAAAACAAACCTGCAACCACCGATTTACTCAGTAGTGACCTCCTTGAAACATAGCCGACAATATAAAGAAATGACCCATAAACCCATCAACACTTTATCAAAATTCAAGAAAGTTTGGGTGGCATTGGATACCGTGTAACAGAATGTCCATTAGGACTCATCAGGGCTACCATGTACCAACCCCTTATTATTCTTCCTCCCATTATTTTTTTATGTCCCACCATTCCACACTTCTGCTCTTCCTTAGCTCTGGTCTAAGCCTCTTTTACTTCTCATTTCCTACATCTTATTGATACCTACATATCTTCTCTCTACATGACACAGTTATCCTGAATTACACACACATTGCTTACATGACGTGAAGGACCTGGGAGATCTGTATTATGTGATGTATAATTTACTGACTGAACTGTCGACTTTTATGTTATATGTCACGAACGTGGGCTATTGGCCCAGCCAAGACAGTGGGGAGAGTGTGGAAGTACAAGGGTTAATGGGTTATCTGTTGCTAGTCCCAGCAACCACTAAATTAACCTCTGCAATATCTTCTACACTAACACCCTAGTACACACTTTACTACCACCACCAAGACTTTCAATCCGGGCATCTGAGGTTACCCCACACACAGTAGATTTATAGGATCACAACCTTACTCTACTGATCAGACATATATAATCAACCCTTTTGGTAACGTGCTTACCTGAGCTTTCCTCAGGAGAGTGAGCTCATAGAGAACAAACATTAAGTAAACATTTAATCTGGCAAAAAGGATTTACAGTGCTGTGTACAAAAATACAGAAATAAATGACATACAGAAACACAGATAACAAATTGCAAAACAGTCCATAAAATAAAATAGGAGAAAACACAAGAAATCCTTACATATATTTACCCCTTGTATATCATTTTTGTAGGAGATTTTATTAATGACACGGAGGCTCCTATTATGCTATCTCTTTCTTACTTTATTCCTCAGCAGCAAAGAGAAATATAAAACTGAAAGAGAAAAATGTAGATATGCAATAATAATAATAACAGGTACAACCAGATCTGCCTAGTAACAGGGCAGCCAATCAGTCTCTAGGAACAGTCCATAAATCTCTATCCTTGTACTTCCACTTCCTCTTTCTTTGCTGCTGTCCTCAGACCAGCTAAGTATAATTTTTCTCTCCTACATTGTTTTGATTGATGGCTTTTGCTAAGGTTTTTTATTAACTGTGTTGTCTTATATTATCAATTGTCTGTTTGTTTGCTGGCTTTTATGTGCCTTTTTGGCAAGCCTTATGTGCTTTTATACTTGGGTGCCTCCTTTGGTTCCCTATTTACCTCCCCTGCGTTTCCCGCCGCTCCCCCTGTCTGTCTGACCGTTCCCCTTTCAGACAGGGTTCGCGGCTAGCAGGGGAGGTTTCTCTCTGGAGCCCTGTGCTCCCCGGCTCCCTTTCCCTCGCGGCCGCGTGTGCGGCCGCACTTATCGGCTGACCCGATCTCCCGCTGGTGCGAGGGAGTGCCGGCCGCGTGTGTGGTCGTGCTCCCCGTTCACTAGCGGGGTGGAGCCTGGAAACGGCCGCGGCGCGCTCTGCACGCGGCGGCCATCTTCCCCTCGTTTCTCCACGCGGCTGGGTCGGCTCCCTTCTCCCTCCCATACTGTTGCAAGTATTGTATATGTAGTTTGTTCTGGTGGGTTACTCAACCCCCTTTTTTCTCCTGTATAGGTTTATGTTTCTGTCATCTGTTAGTTTTATTTAAGCCTTTACAGATTTTGCTCTGCTCCTATATCAGATTTAAAGAGACAGTACTTGTTGGCTTAATTTGGTTTTTGATAATTATGCAGGCTAGGGGTGAGGATTCGGGTAGTCCCAGTTAGCCCATTATGGACCCCTCTCAGACCCCCATTACAGGGGATATGGGCCTTACTCCCTCACAGGAGTTCCAGGCCCTTTTTGATTCCACTATGCAGAAGGCCCTGGCTTCAGCCATGGGGACCGTGTCCTCGTCCCTCTCTCACACTATTCAGCAGGCGCTGTCGCAGCCTTTGGGCCATGCCGTGTTGCCTGCTCCCCTGCCTGCGCTGCAGCCTCATACAGGTCGCAAGGCACAAACGAAATTTAAACATGTCTCTCCAGAGGTGACGCAGGTGATACCTGCCTTGACTGACGTGCCTATGGCCGTCCCAGATGGCGCGTTTCCGCGCAAGAGAGCCGCTGGCCGGGCAAAATCGGCCAGAAAATGGAAACGGGCACGTGCCCGAGATGATGATGGATCGGATACCGATCAAACTGGAGAGTCAGACTTGGATCCCCCTGATTACGCCTCCTATGAGGAAGGGGTTTCCGGCGATGAGGCGGAGTTCGACGCTTCGGCGCTTCCTCCGGGTGAGGGGCAGGACATCTGTGATCCTCAGGGTTACCCCCTGTTCGATCCCGATGACCTTCGCCATCCCCGCTCGGCGGAATGGGACCCGCCCGCGCATATTGCCAATTACCTGGCGCTTCGTATGCGTACCCCCCTTTCCAAGGAGGGGCGCAGTAAACTGAGGGCCGAGTGCCCAAGGCCTTCAGTGCCTGATTCGGCGTGCAAGACGCCAGAGGTTGACCCCCAGATTTCTCAGTTCTTAACTAAGACGGGTTGGAAGCCCCGCAAAGGACTGGAATTTTCGCTGCATAATTGCCAAGACAAGATCTTGGATACCCTGGGCCCCGCCGCCAAGCTTTACGAGCTTCTAGAAGCGGCTAAGGCTGGAACGAAGCCTATTGATTTTGATGAAGCGATTGGGTGGGTCCAGAGGTTGATTTGCCTTCTCGGCAACGCGAACACAGCCATGTCGGCTGAACGCCGCAAGGCGATTCTGCTCAAAATTGAGCCCAAGTTAGTTAACCTGGCAGTGAAGGAGCCTGGTGCTTCGGCCAAAGGTATGCTCTTCGGAGAATGTTTTGTTAAGGACTTAGGCTCCTTTGTTCGCACCTTTACCGCGCTAGATAAGGCGCAGTCTAACCTGAAGAGGGTGTTCGGCCCTAAGGTTTCCCATGGGGCCGGGAGGTATAGGAGCCGTCCGCCCGGCCGTGGAGCTCGAGGTCCCCCGAGGACTCACAGAGGTTCCTTTTCCGCCCCCCGGACCTACCAAGACTATAAGTCAACGCCCCTTTTTCCCTCACGGGGGAGACCATGGCAGAGTCGGGGAGGTCGTGGACAACCCTCATACAGACGCCCTTACGGTGAGTACACCAATACGTGTATCTTGCAGAACGAGTGTGGGGGGCAGATTGGCACTGTTTCTCGATGTGTGGGATATGATCACCACAGATGTTTGGGTTCTCAGTGCGGTCAGGGGTTTCCGCCTGGATTTATTGTCTCCCCCTGTCCAGACGTTTCTCCCACAGGAACTGAAACTACCAGCAGAGCAGTCCGGATTAATTACCGCAGAGATCGCGGAACTGTCTGCCAAACGGGCTATTCAAGAAATCCCCTACGGACACCCGGGATTTCTAAGCAACCTGTTTCTTGTCGCCAAGAAGGGCGGAGGCGTACGTCCGGTGATAAACCTCAAACACCTCAATTCTTTCCTACGTTACCATCACTTCAAGATGGAGGGCGCTCATTGTCTCAGGGACCTGCTCCGTCAGGGAGACTGGATGGTCAAATTAGACCTCAAAGATGCCTACTTGACTATACCCATGGCAGAAGAGCATTGGGACTTATTGCACTTTACGTGGCAAGGTCGTCGATGGCGTTTTACATGTCTGCCGTTCGGTCTATCTTCAGCTCCGTGGTGCTTCACAAAAGTGATGAAGCCCGTGGTGGCCTTCCTCAGGGCGCGAGGGGTCCGCATGATTATCTACCTGGACGACATACTGATTATGTCTTCATCCCCCAAGCAACTTCTCAGGCACCTAAGATGGACGGTGAGTCTCCTGGAGGGACTAGGTTTCCTCGTAAACTGGGAAAAATCCATTGTGACCCCGGTACAAAGGATAGAGTTCCTTGGCTTCGAGGTCGATTCAGTCACCCAGTTTCTGTTCCTCCCGGAGGCAAAACTCCGATTGATGAAAAAGGAGATACGACGGGCGCTGCGAGCCACCTCTCTCTCCGTCCGGCAATTGGCGAGGGTGATCGGCCTGTTGGCCTCATCGATTCAGGCAATATTTCCAGGCCCACTACATTATCGAGCACTCCAACGTTTAAAAGGGTCCCATCTTCGCTCAGGGGGCTCGTACGAGAGCGTGTTGACCCTGGACAGGGACTCCAGAGACGAACTAAGGTGGTGGTTGGACCACATGGAGGCCTGGAACGGCCGGGCGATCTTCGGCTCCGCGCCGGATGTGATCATAGAGTCGGATGCAAGCCTGCATGGCTGGGGCGCTCGCTGTGGCGGTGTCTCCACCGGTGGAAGATGGTCAGAGATCGAATCGGCTCTGCACATAAACTGCCTGGAACTTCTGGCGGGTTCGTTTGCCATTCGGAATCTATCTCCGACGCAGGGAAATTGCTGCGTCCTCCTACGTATGGACAATGTGTCCGCAGTCAGGTACATAAACCACCTCGGGGGGACAAAATCGAAGCAGTTGGCGAACTTGGCAAAGGATTTCTGGCAGTATTGCCTACACAATGCCGTATCGGTTACGGCCGAGCACATTCCGGGTCTGGACAACGAGTGGGCGGATTGGAACTCGCGCTACCTGAAGGATTCAGGAGACTGGCACTTGCTGTCCTCGACATTTCAAAGGATAGAACGGTTGTGGGGTCCACTTCACCTGGATTTGTTCACGTCCAGATTGAACACCCAACTACCCCAGTACTTCAGTTGGAGACCGGACCCAGCGGCCACGGCGGTGGACGCGTTCTTGCAGACATGGCCGCTGGGACGCCATTATGCGTTCCCACCGTTCAACCTGATATCCCGGTACTCAGCCAGGCAGAATTGCACGATAGTAATGGTAGCTCCGCTCTGGCACTCTCAACCGTGGTTTCCCCGCCTTCTGGAGATGGCCATAGATTTCCCACGGATAATCGAAATGAGGCCGTTTGTGCTTCTGGATCCGGATGGCAAATTGCACGAATTGGTGGATCAGAACTTACTCCAACTCACGGCTTGGTTAATCTCGGGAGACCCTGGTGTGTCACGGACGTTTCGCAGACAACTGCTCGACTATTGAAGAATGCCTGGGCACCAGGTACCAGAGCGGCTTACAAGACCGCATGGCGCGTGTGGTGTGGCTGGTGCTTGGGAAGATTGCTGGATCCACTTTCTGCCCCTCTAAATGCGCTGCACGTTTCCTGACGGAACGTTTCGATTCTGGTTTGGCTTATCGTACCCTTAATGTTTATAGATCAGCCATTTCGGCCGGACATCAAGGGATCGACGGATCTCCGATTGGACAACATCCTATTGTGTGCCGCTTGTTGAAAGGTATCCGTTTTGCTAGACCGCCAGGATCTAGATACTCATCGTTTTGGGACGTTAACGTTGTCCTTGGATTCTTGGACTCCTGGCCCTGTAATGAGGACTTGACACTCAAGCAGTTATCATGGAAACTGGTCATGCTCCTGTGTCTACTTTCGTGTAAGAGGGTGTCGGACGTCAGGGCTCTGGACTGGAACGCGGTCTCGTTCACCCCCGGAGGTGTGTCGTTTAATATCTCGAGGAGGACTAAGTCGGCTTCCAAGACGGTGGACTACCCTAGATGCTCCATCAGACCTGCTTTGTGTCCTGTGGCTTGTCTCCAGGTTTATTTGGATCGTACCCGGCTGCTGAGGTCAACTGACTTGCCTCCACTCTTTATTTCCTTGAAAGCACCGTTTCTACCGGTCTCGTCGCCGACGCTTACCCGCTGGGTTAAAGATCTCCTTTCTGCTGCGGGTATCGATACTTCGGTTTTTTCGGCTCATTCAGTTAGGGGTGCCATGGCATCAAAGGCTTCTACGATAGGATGTCGCCTGGACGATATCTTGAAAGCGGCAGATTGGTCTAAGGAATCTACGTTCCGTGATTTTTACTTCCGCCCGATTGAACATGTTTCTTCATTGGTTGTGGCTCAGCTTTAAACTAGCATAATAGGAGCCTCCGTGTCATTAATAAAATTCCCAGATTTTACTATTAACATGACGTAAAGTCATGATTTTATTAATGACACGGAGGCGAGTATTATTCCCACCCACCCTCCCGTGGGTCTGGGTCTGGTTTTTCGCTTAGGGTTCAATCGGGGGGTTCGTCTTATCTCACGGTAAGTGCACATGTGTTACTTGTATTGAGTATATGGTGTTGTAGAGTGTGACATATGTACATGGATTTGAGTATGATGCTCTCTATTTGCAGGTCACGTATATTCGATATGTTGCACTCAGTTCCTAAGTTTGGAGTTTACCACATATTTCTTTGTTTTACAGCTTGATTCCGGTCTGTTGATGTCTACCAGTTTGACGTTTCTTATTTACTGCTTGGATATTTTGCTTTGGGTCTTCGGTTCGGAAGGCAAAGAAGAGGAAGTGGAAGTACAAGGATAGAGATTTATGGACTGTTCCTAGAGACTGATTGGCTGCCCTGTTACTAGGCAGATCTGGTTGTACCTGTTATTATTATTATTGCATATCTACATTTTTCTCTTTCAGTTTTATATTTCTCTTTGCTGCTGAGGAATAAAGTAAGAAAGAGATAGCATAATACTCGCCTCCGTGTCATTAATAAAATCATGACTTTACGTCATGTTAATAGTAAAATCTGGGAATTTAGATGGTACACGTCTGCAAGTAGTTGTTGAAAAAAATAAAATATCCCCTGGATAGTCCAACATCCTCATTATATAACTCAAAACTAGATGTTTCTAAGTGGGTGGATCAGAGTTTGGCCAGGTAGTTTATTGCCCACTCCATATTTTCTTAAACTTTCTTGTCCTTTGAAGACCCCAAAGTGAGAGTACATGCACCAATACATTTTACAATGCCCTATGTCCAGCTCTGGTGATGGTTATCTAGATGTGTTATGGTCTAGGCCTGGTGTAAGATCAAAGCCCACAATAAAGGTTATCCCAACATTTACAAAAAACAACTCATAACATATCAAAGGCCAACTCATGCTTTGGCAATATCCAGGGGGCCCGGTCAGCGCTGTGGCGCTTTAACATTGCGACTGGGCCCCCTGAGATAACATCACAGCTGGGAAGTGACTGCCCCAGTCAAGCCTCCCAGCTGACACTGGGAGCCGCTGGGAAAAGGAAGGAGAGGAGGAAGTCAGAGTGTGAACTCTAACTCCCATCAGCCCAAGCCACCAATGGACCCCAGGGAAGTCACCCTCCTGCATCTAAAAGCTAGGAAACAGGAGGGTGACTAAAACATTTTGTATGTGTGTCTATATATGTGTGTGTGTGTCTGTATGTATGTGTGCCTGTGTGTGTCTCTGTATATGTGTGTGTGTGTGGGGGAACGTATGGGAGGGGGAGTATAGATGTATGGTAGTTGGTGGGGGTGGGGGAAGTGGACGTATGGGATGGGAAAGATAGACGTATGGGGGTAGATGTATAAGGGGGGCCCCAGGGCAAATGTCGCACCAGGCCCCCGTGATTTCTATTTACGCCTCTGGTATATACTGATATAGATCCAAATATTGATCTTTGTTATATTCAGAGGAAGCCCAAATTATTATTACAAGTGTACTTGGAGGAGCGTGAATTAGACACCAGACACCTGTTGGTATTCAAAATAAGCCTCTAACCTTTGTCAGTTGTGTTTTTATACATTAAAAAGTAAGTGCTTACGTGAAAATTGGACAGTAGTAGGAAGGGAGTGAAAGGAGTACAGATAAGACATAGGGATGAAGGCCATGTACATATAACAAATAAGTTCAGAGGAAGAGAAAGAACAGATCTTTAAAAACCCACTTCTTCATAAATGCGTATCAATTAAACTGTTAATAGCTCCTGACTGATTCCTCTTCTGCAACTGTCACTAGTCTAATACTATGCTTACTTTTTTGTGTCATTTTACCCCACTCCCTCTAGCATGTAAGCTCATTGAGCAGGGCCCTCAACCCCTCTGTTCCTGTGTGTCCAACTTGTCTGGTTACACTACATGTCTGTACGTCCACCCATTGTAAAGCGCTGCGGAATTTGACGGCGCTCTCTAAATATCATAATAATAATAATGATTTGAGAAGAGACAGCTCAGGTGGGGGCTATCTGCTCCCGGAACCAGAAATATATGGTCTTAAGTGTCGTTTTAAGCATTAAGCATTTCTTGAGTCCACGTTAGACAATTTTAATATAGGCTATCATAATATGACACCTATAAGCTTGAGCCTTGGAATCAAGATAAATTCTATCACAATCCCCTCTTTTGATTCAAGGGTCACCCAAATGTCCAAGGTATTTCCAGGCCTGCTAGCCAAAGCCTGTGGGACTTTCATTTATTTCTTCACCACGGTTCCCTTGGACTGAGAGACCACCAGAATCAGCGGAAGAGATTTCCTTCATTTGTTAGGTGAGGTAACATCATAAAAACCTTCCGAAGTCAGAGCTGGAATGTAAGTTAAGGTACAACCAACAGTAGGTTTATTTTTACATAGAGAGGTTAGTAGACATGAGAAAAATCTAAAGGTTAGAAAAATGGCCATAATAACAAATACAGCTAATAGCAAAAAGTACAAAATTTTCTTAATTAGTAAAGTCAACCATGTTCCTAGCCCAAATGTCCAATCCCAATCCCCAAGGAAGCCAGTATCCTGTTTGATATCTTGCACTAAGTCATGTAAATCTTTTATATGTTTATGGATCATAGTGCCATGGTCAGATAGGTTAAAACAGCACAAACCTAGAGGATTGCCTTCTTATTTGCCTGGATGTCCATAAGTAGCTCTTCTAGGGCCTAGGAAGTGGAATTTAAACCATTTGCAAGGGAACAGGCTACAGCATTAATTACTCTGGTATTATACAGTGCTAAGCCTGGGACTCCTACCATAGAGTACGCAAGGGCAGAGTATTTGGATTTAGATAAGAGAGTTATTTCAGGGTTACAATCTGAAGTAAGGGAGTTTTTAGCGCTCCTACATCTTATCTCTACATCTCTCCTGTCTCTCTGCGGTTTGTGTAGCTGGGTGGTTTCAGGGATCAGGTCAGATTTGGAAAACATGGTCATGGTTAGGCGTGAGATTGCACAGGGACCTCCTGTAATGTTACCTGGGACATAAGTGTGGCAAAACTAACCTCGCCACTGGGTCCTGGAGAAGCCTGTGTTACAAAATGCCTTTTGTCCCTATTTTCTCTTATGACAAATTGCCCTGCTTCCCTGGGTTATGGAGAAGCCTGATTGCCAGTCTCCTGCCTCATGACTATGGCCCCCTCTCATCAGCCCATGCTAAACTTAAACCCCATGGCGATTTGACTGTGTTTGTGGGATCTGAGCGCTGTTTGGATATATATAGCGCTCAGATCCAAGCCATCTGGGGATAGGTTGAATGTGGGGGTTCTGTTCAGTATGATAGGAATTATGTATTTTTGCTGTTGTTGTGAATAGAGATATTTTCTGTACCTGGAGATAGTTGGCTTACCACACCCAGTTAAGCCAATTATCTCGCACAGCCTAACTCTGTGGAACTGGTTTGAGCTGGAAAGCCATGCTTGCAGTTGGTCACAAAGCACTTCAACCTAATTTTTAAACCACTGGAGGGAATTGTCTGATTTTTGAGTATGTTTGTATTTGTAGTATGCTGGTTCTGAAAATGTAAGTTTTATGTGAATGTGTTGTATACTTTTAAAGTTATGAATATTGTGTAAAACTGTATTTTCCTGCCTGTGATAATTACGTTAGCCCATTGTGTTCAGTAATTATATCACAGGCAGAGGGGAAGATTTTGCTGGAATGAATGGGAGTGTTTTACTGTATATTACGTGTTTGATTGGCTGTTCCACAAAACCCTGTTAGTGGTACTTTATGTGTATATAAGAACAATAAAGCCACAGCTCTCTGTTCCTGTTTTGACCCTCAACATAGAGCCTCATCTCATGATTGGGGGATACTGCTGCATCTACACTGGGGGATTGCTATACTCTATATACTCCCCTAGCTATAATCACTAAGATCTTTTAAGAGCTTGTTCCAGCTTCCCTCTCTGCAGGAAGAGAGGTTCGGTCTGCAGTTCTTATGGTGTCTGGAGAAGTGCTTGGAGGCCTCGGGAAGCACTAGGAGCATCCACCAACGGAGGTACTCGGTCGGAGTACAAAGAGCTCCGTTACAATAAGCATAAGTAATATTTCCACAGGAGAAAGTCCATTCTTTAGGGAGATAGACATGGTAGTGGTAACTCATAACTTGGTGAGTTTTGGTACAATTCATAGTGGTGCTCAGGGCTCTACAATTCGTGGTATTTTTCCACCATGTGGGTCAAAACAGGGATTCAGTATAATGGTCTCGAACAATTACATGAAAAAGACCAAAATAGTTCAGCAGCTGTCACATTAATTGTACTTTAAAAGTTCTTGAACAGCCATTAAAAACAGAACATATAATCTCATAGGGCAATACAGCAAACAATGTAAACAAATGAATAAAAGGGAATGTACGAGAAGCTATTACACTCACATTTGTTAGAAATACCAAAAACCAATTAACACACACCTCTAAACAAATCAAGTTATTACCTTTTAAAGGTTGTATACTCTGTAGTAAAGAACAGGACTCCTCTATATCCTTGTAAAAAATCCTCAATAATGTGTATCTACATGTCCAAAATATATAGGACACACATAGAGTAGTAGAGTACAGGTATTCAAATATTTAATATTTACAGATTAAACTCATACAAAAAAAACAACTTGTATGATAGGCACTTCAACTCAGGGTATCTTCATCCCATTTATACACACGTGGAGAAAATAACAAAACATGGTGCAGTATTTCAAAACAGACACACACTGCTTTAATGATTTCAAACTTACAAGAAGGACAATTTACTCATCAATAAAGTTCTGGAAGCTGTTAGTCCATATCATCAGATGAAATGTTGTGCTTATAAACAAGAAAAAAGTGGAAGGCTATCTCAGAGCTAAAACTGGAGAGCTAAATAAGTCCTCTAAAACAACTAATAAAATAAACACAAATAAAAAATATAAAACAATTAAAAGCTATGATAATAGGTATATACACATTGCCAAATACATAGCTGGGCTTTCCGGTGGACCAGGTTAGATTGGTTTGGCTCAGGTTTTTGGGGTGGGGAGAGGTGTTTTTTGTTTTTTTTAGCAGGTTGGATAAGGGGGGATCCCCAGACTAGATAAAAAAATAAAATAAATAACACTACAGATTAGTCTTGCGTTAATGTAATAAACGCAATTCAAAGAATGTAGTGTCTAAAACTAAACAATTGAAAGGAAAGTGCTTTGATTTATAAACTCACAATGCATATTATGTGTGCGTTGTTCCTTAATCTGTATAATAAAGCATTGTGTGACAGACCGCCAAATCACCTAGGATGTGTACATGGTTCCCAACCTTCCCCTAAAAAGATTCTAATCATTTACATTTACCCCTCCAGCCAAACTAGCGCTTTTCCCAGTAGCCTAGGAGACATCATAGACTGGGAATGAACTTGCAGAGGTATGGCACATCTGAAATTCCTGATCAGGGTATCGTGGAGTTGCAGCGATCAGGTAAAACGTAATCGAGGGCGCTCTCGGCCTCAGGACAACCAAACATGGAATTATTTGGAGGGGTTATAGAGGAGCTGGTGTGGAACGATACCAGGGACTTGAGGGAGCTCCATGTACAACAGGAAAGAACCATTGTTAAAGGTGACCGGGACTTCCCACCCAGCGCTGCAGAGCTGGGCTGTAGGATGCTCGCAGCCCAGTCAAAAAAATGTACATTCATGCTATTCAGGCAAGGCACCTCTGAGCACTGATCCGAGCGCCTTTTGGACAGAATCGGTGCTCCAGAGAGAGCAATCCAGACTATAGACTAGTTTGGCGATGCAGGCTTGGGAACTCATGTTTTAGGGTAAAATTGTTATATGGCGCCAATGTTAACGTTAACTCGCCAGGTACAGACTACAAGGCGCCAGATGTTGCAAAATACTATTGTTCTCCTGACGACCTGTCAGGTTGTGTGATCTAAAAATCAAAGTGCAGTATAAGCAAAAAATAAAATAAACAAATGTCTAGGACAAACAAATCCAGCAAGGGTGAGGTCAGAGTCCAGTAGTCAATATCCAGACAGCAAGGTTCAGCAAAGGTTAAACAGGCCAGAGGTCAGGAAAACTTCAGGAAATCAGGAATTACAGGTATAGAGCACAGAATAACTGAGCAATGACAGCTCAGCTGTTCTGTGTTTAAAAAGGGTGGCAAGTGTAACACACCCACTCAGACATGCTCCCATAGCACCCTATTGGTGTATGGGACTGCCTGTCATGCAGGTTTGCCATGGGAGATAATGCAGACTAATTTGTTCTAGCCACGCCTCCTAGGTATGCCCTTGCACCATGGAACGACCACGCAAGTCTCCCAGGCGTCTATCGCTGCCTAGGAGAGGAGACGGAACTGGAGGGCAAAGGTCGTGGTCGTATGACACAACAATAAAGCAGTCTTTTGTTCAGGCTTATATTATGCCTCTGCTAATGTTTAGGGCATGGCCTATAATCACTCTTGAGCTAAGCACTGAAGGGGGGAAAATGAGTCCTCGGCGGCGATAACCAGAGTATATGTGGTTAGGCCGCCACACATTGCATCACCAAACCCAGTTATTTTGTAGAAGATCTCTAAAACAAAAACAAAAATTAAAAAATTAAAATCCATAAAGCTGTTTCTGAAATTATGGTACCAAGAGCTTCCTGGACTTCAAATCCTTTGAAAGAAATTCATTGGGATTTTTCTCGCCTTCGATCCCAAATTACCAACCTACATTTAAAAAAAAAAAAATCAGTCATCCTGGTGTAAAGTTTACTTGTACTAAACAGGTTGAGACAGAGCACATATATGAATGAGCAAGTTTGTCACCCGAACCATAAAGCCCCCAATACCCTATTGAAGCAGATATATCAGAGGACAGGACAGATACATCCAGTTCATGTACCCTCGTTCCAAATACTCAAACTCATCAGCAGGGCCCCTCTGCCTGTTTTTTTTTTTTTTTTAAATCACCCATTAGATATCAATTGCCACACTACAAAAAAGGAAAACAATATTTGCTCTAAGGATTCAAAAACATTGCAAGGAAGTTCTCCATATCCTGGGTACATGAGACCTTCAAACACATCTCCAAAAAAGTATGAAACACTCAAGCCTTGGTTCAACTCAGAACTTATATTTGGCCACTTGTAAAACCCATATGAAAGGTGATTAATGCCATAATGTGCACACTCATGCAAAAGTATAAACACAGTAACAACAATGGAAAAATTTACTTAGCTAGGAGCAAGACAGAAAAGCTTTGATTACGAACTGGTTATTGGCTTGAATTCAAATATGGATTCTCCACACCAATTGAGTGACTGTAATAAGGGGGTGGGGGGATATTGACAGCCAACCGTATGCCAATTAAGTGAAGTGTTCTAATGTGGAGAGCCCAAAACTACATTTTTAGGGAAGTATATCTACCCTTAGACAACAACGGCATCCTCAGAGCACATGTAAAATCAGTTAAGTTGTTGATAAACTGCGCTCCAAATCCCTTCCAATGCAATTTCCTTGCCCCAGGAGTCGCTCTGTCTCTGGTGAATCCAATTGGAAGATTGGATGAGGGAGGTGTGTCCAACAGAAGGAGGGGCTTATCCTATTAAAAAGCTGTGTGAATACCACATTCTCTTTGTATGCTTACTTCTCTTTGAATTTCCCTCTCCATGCTACACCAAAGGTTTGTTTCGATCCAGGAAGCCCTCTAGTGGCTGTCTGGTAGACAGCAATTGGAGGCAGACTTAGAGATGCAATGTAAACATTGCAGTTTTTCTTGATTTGCAATGTTTAACATTGCAGCACTAAGTGCAAAAGGGACACTGCACCTAGATCACTTCAATTAGTTGAAGTGGTCTGGGTGCCTATAGTGTCCCTTTAAACAGTGTATGCTCTCTCATAAAGAGGTATGTATTATGCTTAAAATGTGGGCACCAAGTAGCCTTGCTTGTAGATTAAATTCACTCATAAATAGGACCATTAATCGAGATCAAGATTGGTTCAAAGAGGATAAATGAGGGACAGAAGGAAGTAGGTGTAGAGCTATCTCCAAATTGATAACAGGGGAAAGAGACTTAAATAGACACTCACTTGCTGAAATGAAGGTACGCTTACAAGATGATCATTTTTTGCCTCTGAATTTAAGCAAGTGTAGCTGCTAACCCACCGTATACCACCAGACCAAACCCCTCCTGATCTTCTGCAATACCATGTAAAGAAATGCAATTAGACCTTGGAGTGCACATAATAGCAAAGGAGAATGACAGTCTGGAAGGAGTTTTAACAATTATGGGAAACGCCAGGCAAACATTAATGAGGAAAGGTGTCACAAGGCTGCAATTATAGCTACCAATGAAGTGAAGCAAGATTCCCTTCAGAGGCACTTATTATTGCAACAAAATAGGTCATAGACAGAAAGAGTGTAAAAAGCAAAGTAGCCCAAATGTTGACATGTTAATGGCATGTTAATCCCTCTCCCTCTGTGCCTTTCATTTAAATAATTTATCAGAAAGTATATGAAAAGATTGACCAAAATAAACCGCAAGATAAAACAGGTCAGGAACACTTTTCTCACCCCCTGCCTAAGACCAATCTAGATACGGGAGGATCTGATAATGAATACAAAGCAATAACAGGGGAAGTAAAGTTGGGTTGAACAGCAGTTAGTCAGATAACAGTAGAGTTTGACCCAAAATGGCTCTTATGTCAAATTAACAATATCTATACATCGCTAGATCTATATGCATACATATATACAGAAAGGATGTGGAAAGTGAAGGCTGTGGTC